TTTCCATATGGGATTAAATTGACAACAACTCCCAAAGATATGATAGGAAATGTAGGGAACTGTGATGTTAATGAGGGAGGGATAACTTAGAAAAAAGGGATGAGAATGGTTGCACAAAGGGAGCTCTGGTGGCCTAGTGGCAAGAAGCTGCACTGCAATCCCAGAATCCACCAGTTGCTCTGCTGGAGGAGGGACAATCACCACCTGTACCAGTCAGATCTGATTTGATGGTACACACACACACACACACACACACACACACACTAATAAAAGAATGGTTGCACGAGTTGAAGAATGTAATCAATGTCCTTTCTGTCATAAGTACAGTTTAAGAAACGCTAAGGCATTTCTACTAGGCCATACAGCATTGCTATGAGTTTAATTAACTCAAGGGCACACAAAATAACAAATGAAGGAATAATTGTTGGGATATGAGATTAGAGAGGGAGATATGCACTAGATTTCCCTTTGCAAAGGAGTTTGAATTTTAAGTAGAAGTCATTAAGGGTGCTGATGTGGATTAGATTGGATCCTCCCAAAATACATGTAAATAATATGGAAACTATATAAGAATGCCCTATGATCTGATAAAGCAAATAGTTGTGAGATGATTAAGGATGGATACACTGTCCTGATCTATGTGATGTAAGGGAAGTTTCCCTCGAATGTGACTGTAGCATCTCATACCTCATAAGAGATAAAAAGGACACAGAATGAACTGAAAGAACCTCAGAAAGAGTCAAATGCATTCTTTTGGACTCAGGTCCTTGCACCCGTACCTTGCACCTGTGACACTGGAAAAGGCCGAGACATGCAGATAGATCCATGGAATATCCATTTTATAGATGCTAAAGGAAACAAGGACATCTTCCTCCAGAACTGGCAGAGAGAAGGCTTTTCCCTATAGCTGGTACCCTGACTGGACTTCCAGCCTCCTAAGCTTTAGGTGTATAAATTTGTTTGCTAAAGCAGTTGTTTTGTCATTAATACTTTGAGAAGATTGCTAAAGTCATGTTACCCAGTCAGAGCTGTCAGATGTAAAGCTAAGGCTCAGCTCCTCCCAATGTTAGCAACTAAAAGCCACCATATCTTAACTCCTTAACACTAAACTATATTCTCCACTTATCATAATGTTGCTTCTTGGTCCTGTTGTGAGGAGATTTATTTTATTTGAGATGTAATCAAAGTGAAAGCTATGGCCTTTGATCTTTATTACGAAGAGCTTCAAGTCCTCTGCTTTCAGCATGCAAGGTTGTGCCATCTACATACTGCATGTTGTTAATGAATCTTCCTTCAAGCTGGATGCTGTATTCCTTTTCAGTTTCTTGGACTATTTGCTTAGTATACAGATTGAGTAAGTATGGCAAAAGGACACAACCCACTTCACTAAAGAAGACATTCAGATGGCAAACAAACACATGAAGAAATGTTCAAAATCTCTATCTCAAAGAGAGATGCAAATCAAAACAACTACGAGATATTATCTCATCCCAGTAAGAACAGCAAAATTCAACAGAGCAGCAAACAACAAATGCTGGCAAAGTTATGGAGAAACTGAAACCCTTATTCAGTGTTGGTGGGAGTGTAAAACATGCAACCACTATGGAAGGCTGTATGGCACTTTCTCAAAATATTGCAAATAGAAATACCATTTGACCCAGTAATTCCACTACTGACTACTGGGAATATACCCAAAAGAAACCAGAACTTCCCCCCAGGCAGATATGTACACACCCTTTTTTATTGCTGATTTGTTCACAATAGCAAAGAGTTGGAAAAACTCAAGTGCCCATCAACAAATGAATGGATAGAGAAGTTCTGATATATTCACAAAATGGAATACTATGCAGCACTAAATAAACAAGGAACTTATGAAATATTACACAAAATGGGAGACCCTGGAGGACATTATGTGAGTGAAATATCTCAGTCACTAAAGGACAAATATTGCATAATGTCAATGTTATAAAATAGGACTGACATGTTGGTTGGGGGGGGACTAGGAAAAGAGGGGATAAATAATGTACACTGCATTGAAACAGATAAGGGAAAGAACTGCTTAAGAGGAATATGTTGTTTTTATTGTTGTTATGAGCCATCAAGTTGCTTGCAACTCATAGCAACCCTGTTACAAAAGAACTCAAAACACTGCTCTATGCTGCGCCAGCCTCACTATCTCTGACACACCTTCTCCCATTACCCAAATCACTGAATTGATCTATCTCATCGAGGGTCTTCATCTCTTGTGCTATCCCTCCCCTCTACCCTTCCAAACATGATGTCCCTCTCCAAGGACTGGTCCCTTCTTGAAACATGTCCAAAATATGTTAGACGGAGCTTCAGAATCCTTGCCTCCAAGGAGCATCCCAGTTTCATCCTCGAATATATGATTAGGTATTATTTGCATGACAACAGTCTAGAATAAAAGCTGCACAGTAAAGTGGATAGGGGGAGGGGAGAATTGAACAACACTGAAAGAATTTTTTTTTCCCAAAAGAAAAGCAAACGGGGGAGGGAGTGGGCAGGGAGGAAAATGTGCAACAATGAGTGAATGGTAATCCAAATTCTCGATAAACTTTGATTAAAATGTCAATTTAAGGTGAGCTCTGGTGGCCTAGTGGCAGGAGACTGCACTGCAATCCCAGAGGTGCACGGTTCAAATTCACCAGATGCTCTGCTGAAGAAGGAGGAACAATCGCCTCCTGTGGTTCAAATTCACCAGATGCTCTGCTGAAGAAGGAGGAACAATCGCCTCCTGTGGTTCAAATTCACCAGATGCTCTGCTGAAGAAGGAGGAACAATCGCCTCCTGTACCAGTCAGATCCAATTTGATGGTACACACATAAAAAGAATAAATAAATAAATAAATAAAAATTTAAAAAGTCAATTTAAAAAAAAAGAAAAAATAAAAAACAAAAGGACATAACGCTGATCGACAAGTTTCCCAATTTTAAATTATGCGGAGGAGGAGACATATCCTGGAGTTGGGAGGAATACAGAAACAAAGCATTCTTGGAACTATGTGATTAGGTAAACATATACAGCTAATTATAGTACAAACAAAAAAAAGTTGGTTGGATTGATAGTTTGTAGCTGAGCCTTTGAGTCCAGCAACTCCATGAGATTTCAGCAATATCTACATTTCTTGGAGAATCAGAGTTATCTTCATGAAATGAGGGGAGAAAACCCCAGTTTCTAGGACTATTCACTGCACTAGACACAGTTCTTACCTGATAGTCTGGTTTGGGAGAGGTGGGGGGGGGAAATAGTTATGGAAATTATGTAACTAAAATAAAACAGTTACCTTGAGTTGATGCAAGCTCATGGTGCAGAACAGAATTGTATTTCATCTTCAATATTAATTACATCTCAACATCAAGAATATAAAATTTCACCACTGGACTGATAGATAGCATCATGATAGATAAAGAAAAGATTTAAATCGTCAGCGACTTCGTCTTACTTGGATCTATAATCAACACTCTTGGTACCAGCAGTCAGGAGATGAAGATACATTAACAATATGCAATATGCTTTGGGGAAAGTCTGCAGTCAGAGAAGTTTCCCAATTACTGAAGAGCAGTAATGTCAATTTGAAGAATAAGGTGCATCTGATCCAGGCCATAGCCTTTTCCATAATTTTCTATTCATGTGAACGCTGGACAACGAATAAGGATGGCAGAAGAATTGATGCCTTTGAGTGTCAGTGTTGGAGCAGAGTATTGAATATCCCATGAACTGCCAAAAGAATAAACAGATATGTCTTGGAGAAAGTGCTACCAGAATGCTCCGTGGAGGCAAAGATGACAAAGCTTCATCTCATGTACTTTGGGCATATAGTTAGGAAAGGCTATTCCTTGGAAAGAGCCATCATGCTTGCAAAGGTGGAAGGCAAGGAGCAATTGATTCGACAGGTCCTTCCTAACGATAACGATTCAGCGTTATCTTCTGACATTCATTTTGATCTTTACCCAATGAAAGTAGCAGTCAAGAAATTAAACTATGTATTCATTAGATTGAGGGGAAAAATATGTGCAAAATAGTTCTTCAAAGTGTTAAAAAGGAATAATGACACTTTGAGGATTAAGGTGCACCTGAGCCAAGCCATAGCATTTTCAAACACCTCGTATATGTGAAGGTTGGACAATGAGGAAGACTGTTGGAAGAATTGATGACTTCGAGTTACAAAGAATACTAAATGTATTGTGGACTACCTGAAGAACAGGCAAGTTTGTCTTCGGAGTACAATGAACATGGTTCTTACAAGTGAGGACAGTAAGACTTTGTCTCATTTACTTTGGAAATGTTATCAGGAAGGATCAGTCCTTGAGACTCAAAAGGGAAATACCCTTAACATAGGTGGCTGCAACAAAGGGCTCATAAATAACAATTGTGCAGAATCAGACAATGCTTTGTTCAGATCGCTGGGCGCCAAAACAAACTGGATTACAACAGTTGCTTAATTTGGAACAGACTCAGAGTTGACCTTCCAGAAGGTTTTCAGGTGCTGTAAATCACAGGGTAGAAGACTTCCCATCCTTCTTCCGCAGAGATGCTGGTGGATTTAAACCGCTTGTCTTTGGGTTGGCAGCGCAACACCTTACTCTTTAGTATCTCTTCCTTGAAACCTATTGCCACGCCTGCGTTAACACATTCCAAAGCTCACAATTAACCGAACACGCAATAAGGGAAAATGCCCTCTGACAGGACTTAACTCAGTGTTCTAAGTATACGGAAGCCCAATGGGACATAACTCTCTGTGATTGGTTACAAACTCTCAGTTCTCTTCCAATCATAGCTATATCCTGAGAAATGGGGCAAGTCACTTGGAAGACCAGCGTGCTCTGTGATTGGCTTTCTCGCATGCGTAACAGCAGCCACAGCCTATGCGCGCAACAATGGGGCGGGGCGGCCGGGACGGTAGGCCCGGTGCCGCGGCGACCTAGGGCTGTCAGTGTGTGTTGCGCTCGGTTCCAGTGATCCCGCGCGCTGCCCGCGCTATGGCTGCCCCACCGCAGCTACAGGCCCTGCTTCTGGCTGTCAACACATTGCTGCGCAAGCGCCGATACCACGCTGCGTTGGCCTTGGTCAAGGGTTTCCGGAACGGGCTCGTGTGAGTTGGGTACATGGGATCGGGCTAGGGGGGTGAGAGACAGGTCTAGTACTGGACGGAAGTGCAGGTTCGAGGCCCCTAGCTTTCAGGTAGGATGCCATTTAGTAGTCCTTGCGTCTCCATCATCTGCGCAATGAACTCTGGATTTGGGGAGGAGAGCCTTCTCAGCTTTGAGCCATCTCCCGCGACGCTGTTTTTAGGATCCTCCTTGCTCGACAACCTAAACTTCTTGCTTTGACTCCTTCCTCTGATAGTCTTTTTCCTCTGAATCCAGTTCACCTCTATCACTCCTGTTCTTTCTCTCTGTGTGCCCTTGTGTTTTCTTGGCCTCAGTGGCCCCGTCTGCACCATGGGAACCAACTGTCCTATCTGTGATCTATTTTTCTGCTCCAGTGGGCTCACATCCAGAATCTCACTTCAGAGATAAGTTTTCCTTTGGCACAGAGGACTCCCTTGAACTTGAATCTTAGAAGTGATTCTGGATGTAAGATAAACTGCAAATTTCTACTTAGTAAAATTATCATTTCTGGAAAGAATCTCAGGGGTCATTTAATCTGACTAGTGACTTCTGACACAGTGCAGGAATCTTTCAAAGAACAGGTATTTGAAACCATGCATAATCAGCTTCCAGTGTAGTCAATTCTGATATAAAGCAGCCCTGTAAAACAAAATTCCAAGCCTGTAATTCATAAAAGCAAACTAACTCATCTTTCTCCTGTGTAATGTGTTTGTGGAGTGGAACTACTAACCTTTTGGTTAGGAGTGAAATGCTTTAACCACAGTGCCACCAGAGCTACCATATTGATAATCTACCCATGTGCCTGGTGCTGGGGACACAGCAGAGAATGGGAGTGTCATCCTAGTGATGGCATGACACAGTGGAGAGGAGGTGGAGTCTGGAGCTAAACTGCCTTGCTTTGAATTCTGATGACCACTTACCGCTCTTTCTGTGTGATCTAAGTCAAGTAAGTCACTTAGCCTCACTGAGCTCTAATTCCTCTAGAATGAGGATGATAATAGTGCTTATACTACAAAGAGCTGAGTCAATATAACAAAATGCAACTCTTGATATATAATTGTTAGTTGCCACCCAGTGAGCTCCAGCTCACGGTAACTTGATGTGTAACAGAACAAACTATTACTCTAGATGATGCTATTATTTTATCCACATAGGTAACTACCTGGCTTACTCCTTCACCTTTTTCAGGCCTCTTCTCAAGTGTCACCCCTTCAGTAAGGTCATCCCCACCTTCTTCCCTGCTTTATTGTTCTCCATAGTGCTAATCTACTTGTATATCTCATTTCTATTCCTCTCACTAAGATGTGAGCTCCACAAGGACAGAAATTTTTTTATGCTTTGATCTTTGGTATAATTCTTACCACCCACTACATATTACACTCTCAACAAATATTTACTGAGTGAATAAACTGATGCAAGGTAGATCTTATCATTGCCCCCATTTTCCAAATAAGAAGATTGAGTCTTAACGGGATAAACTCAATGCCCCTTGGACACATTGCTTGAGCAGAGTTGAAGCCAGGATAGAAACCCAGGTATGCCAGTCCCCAGTGCCAAGCTCTTGGCTTCCATGGACACTGGGAGTTATGTAGATGCTAGTTCCTGCTGCATCTTGTCAGGTTATATTGGCCACACCTTGGTGTAACCAGGGTGTGATGGATCCTGGGATAGCATCGCATCAGTGATTCCTTTTCCGAGACTTTCTTGGGACAAACAAAATTAAGCAGGAGCCACATAGGCTCTGATATCTAAACAAGCATTGCCCAATGCTGATTTTGTACACCTGTCCTTTTTTTAAAAAAAAATTTTTTTTATTATTATTTTTGTGTGAGTGTACCATCAAATCAGATCTGACTGGTACAGGAGGAGATTGTCCCTCCTTTTCCCGGCAGAGCATCTGGTGGATTCGAACCGTGTGCCTCTGGGATTGTAGTTGCAGCTCCTTGCCACTAGGCCACCAGAGCTCCCCTGTACACCTGTCCTTAACCCAAGGCTTCCTGTGACCTCAAAAGACTTTTCCTCATTGAAACAGATGAAGAAGAGAACTGTTTAAAAGGGACATATGAGTGGGTATTCTTGTCATTACAGAAGTCCAGAGTGAAGGCTGCATCATGGAGTGGACTTTGGGGAAGGGACTGCATAACAATGAAAGAGTTTTTCTTTTTCTTTTCAAGGAGAAGAGTGAACGGGGGAGTGGGGTGGGGGTGGGGGGGGAGGGAGAAAGGTACAACAATGAATGACTGGAAACCCTAAGTCACTGTAAACTTTCCTTAAAATTAATTTTTTTTTAAAGACTTTTCCTAGCCACGATAGGCACCAGTTGGGGTCAAACCCTGAATTTAACTCCAAGTTTCCTCATTTAATAGCTGAGTAACCTTGAACAAAGTCCTTCGTTTCTTATTTTATCATCTGTAAAATAGACTAAATGCTGGGATACTGAGGCTGTGATTGCAGTATGATTAGAGATAAGGCCACATGGTTACATGTTCAAGAAGAATGATAGATTCCCATGGCAGTTTCAGGTGATCAGTGAAAACTTCATTGTGGAGGTGATAGAGATGTTTTGAAGGCTGAATTAGAATTTTCCATAAGGAAAAGAGCATCCCAGGACAACTGAAATGTTAGAATTTTGTAAAATTTCAATCATTTTTTAAAAATGTTACTATTCTGTGTGTGTGTACGGTCAAATCAGATCTGACTGGTACAGGAGGAGATTGTCCCTCCTTCTCCAGCCTTTCAATCACTTTTAAAGGTGGAAGGACAGCATAAGAGAGGAAAACCCTTAGTGAGATGGATTGACTTAGTGACTGGAGTAATGGGGGTAAGGTGTGTCAGAGACAATGAAATTGACTCAAGATAGAGCAGGGTTCAGAGCTGTTGTACATAAGGTTACTGTGAGTCGGATTCAACTCGAAGGCACATACCAAGTATTTTAATATGCATTTCTAATAAATAAGACTGCTTTTCTATCTGATCAAATTATGATTACATTTAATAAATAATCTGTAATATTGACTACTGTTTAATCAGTAGTCAAATTTTCCCAGTTTCCCCCAAAATGTCCTCTATAATTCATTGTTTCCAGGAAGGGGGTTCCCCTAAGACATCACATTGCCATTATTATTAGGTGCCATCAAGTCAAGTACTACTCTTAGTGACCCTATAGATATAGATCTGAACCCTGTCCTATCCTGTGCCAACCTCACAGGTCCACCTGACTCTCCTTTGCTGACCCTCCACCTTTCCAAGCATGATGTCCCCCCATTAAGTTCTTTTTTAATCTAGAACATCCCTTTTATTCAGGACAGAGAATAATTTTGTGGATGGGAGAATAAGTTGGAAGGATGCTTAGGAGATGGAGCTGGGATGCCATTTAGTTTGTGTCAGGGATGTAAGTGAGGATCTTTTCCACTCTGGTGAGCTGGAGGAAGGCTGAGGGTCTGTGTAGGAGAAAGTTACAGTACTTTGGAGGAGAGGAAGAAGAACCTGCCAGAGCTGGGCTGGGGTCATAGCTCTCCTATCCATCTCCAAATAGGAGAAAAGACAGAGGATCCAACCTGGCCTCTGCAACTTGTAAACATTCTTAATGGCTCCGATTTTGTGCATTTGTTTGTTTTCAAATTGAGTTGCACATTCACAAAAGGCAACAGAAGTTAGACAATAAAATGTTATACCCACCCTTAACCCCCACAAGGCAGCTCTCTGTCCAATCTTGGTGTCTCATATGCAAACAAATAACATGTCTCTAACTGACTCACAGCTGGCCCTCCAGTGGGTTTTTTGGAGGCTGTAGATCAAATGGGAGGAGATTGCCCATCTTTCTCTCAGAAGAGCTGGTGGATTCAGAATGTCAGAGAGGCACACAGAGCCTTGGAGTTAGCAGCTAAACTTCCTGTCAGCTACCAGAGCACCCTCATACTCTCCCTAACACCTCTACAAAGTTACTTTCAGATTATTTGAGATTTATAGAAGACTTTACCCCTTGAAACAGCTGTTACCTTGCTGCACACTCTGTCGTGCACCTTGCTCAGTCATCTGATTGAACACACCGCTCCACATCAATGTGCACAGAGCCGCCTCTCTCCTTTTATGACTGCGCGGTGCTTCACTAAATGGCAGAACCATTATTTCTGTACTCAGTAGCCCCCTGGTGAACACACACTTACTGTTATTACAAGCAACCTGTTACATTGATTTGAGTGACAAAGATAGTGTTCATATGAATGTGGTTTGTGACTGGTGTGTCTCAAACCCACCACCATTGAGGTGATTCCAACTCAAAGTGACCCAATAGGCCAGTGTACACTTGCCCCACAGGGTTTACAAGGCTGTAAATCTTTGAGAACAGACTGTGTTATCACTCTCTTAAGGAAAGACTAGTGTATTCAAACCACTGACCTTTAACCCACTCTGCCACCAGGGCTGCTCCTGGTGTCTCATGGAGGCTGTCAAGGATTTTTTTTTCCTAATTCGATTCCCATTTAACAATTGTTATACAAAGTGTTCTCTACTGCTGGTTACCATTTTCACAGTGTCAGGATTCTCATTATTTTCATTGTGTTTGTTCTGTTACCCTTGATCTGGCCTCCTTGCACCCCACTTGTCTTCTTTACTTTTGGGTAAATATTAACCTTTAGGTCACATATAGTTGTTTACTCACAGATAATATTGCTTATTCTGTTTGTTATTTGGTTGAAAAATGTCCAACAAGAATAGCTTCAGTTCTAAGTGCAAAGGCAATTTTATTAGATTTTTTTGCAGTTTTGTAATGTTATTTGATAATCAGCTTTTGCTTTTCATCCATACTGGTTATAGATTTTTAAAATATCACAGGTACCTAGGTAACCGGTGAATACAGTTTGTTTGGGGAATCTTCATTCTCATTACATTTTCTGGACAACATTTCTATTCCTTTGGCCCAGATGGTTTTGCTGAGCCTGGTGTCAATGCAAACATTTGGTGTTTCCATCTCCTTCATAGC